CCCTTCGTACCTGAGCAAGACTGTACGAGCCTGGTTCAACCAACTGCAGCCCCATTACAAGCAGTCGTGGAAGGATATCAAGAAAAAGTTTTCAAAGGAATGGATCACCAACCCGCTGCCAAAAGCTGACAAGTACTACCGCATGACACAAGATCCGAAGGAGCCATTGAAGACGTTCTTCTACCGATTCAACAGTGCAGCCCAAAGCGCGAGGGTGGAATATTGGAAGTCAGCCAGCATATTGGAAGACCACATCGGGCGTTTTTGCATGGCTCTGGAAGATGAATCGTTGGGAGATCGCCTGTCTCAAATGGTGTTCTCGTCCATTGACGACCTTGACCGACACCTGGACTCACAGCGAAAAAACCAAATCTTGCGCCAGTTCAAGAACCGTCAGGCTCGACTCTGAGCCTTTACCCGGAACCGGCAACTCCACTGATCCCACATCACCCACTGGATCCGACATCCTCGTCGAACCCTCGCTACGCCCGGACAGCACGAGCTGCTCGTGTGTTAGTCGTGCCTCATCCCTGGAGCCACTGATCGCACGACCAGCACTCACACTTTCCTCAACATCCGATCGGTTGACCAGGTTCACTGTCGTCACCTGTCGACCCATGGACTCCACACCCAGATTCCGTATCGACGTCGCCACTCGCTGTCCGTAGTTCTCACCGCGTTGTCGACTCGCCGGCGCAGGAGTATTCGTAGATTCCGTCACAGATGTTTTATTGGGAGGTACGACGATGCTCGGGACACTTCCTTCAGCCTGAACGTCGTCCCTCCCATATCAACCATTTTGCGCCGGAGGAGTCTGGGTCCCTTCTCGTGGCGACATACGAAGCTTGGGCACTCCACACGAAGATGGCCCAGCTCATTACAGTTGTAGCATCGGTGATCCCCCGCTAGCGCCCGCGGTTGGAAAGGAACCGAGCACTCCCAGTTAGCGTGACCCACGGTGTTGCAACGAGAGCACTTCATCTTAGTGTACGGGCACGCCTCGCGCCCATAACCACTTCGTTGACAACGCCCACATACCACACGGCCCAACTGTGTCGTCGTCTCGTCGGGATCCATGCGGATATTCGGCACTACCGGCTGATTCCCCGACGGACGACGCGGAGCGATGTTGGCCACTGCATTCGTCAATGAAGCCAACTGGTTTTGCATCATTGAGGCTACATCCGCCCGAAGCGCCGCCATAGCCTCTTCTGTGGACTTGCTGGTCGCATCCGTCGAGTTCGTACGGTTCACCCGCGTCGCCGAGGACGTAGATCGTGGAACGTCGTGTCCGTTCGCGTCATTGAGTCGCATATCAAGGTCCATGTCGCGAAAACGAAGGTAGTCCAGGCACTCCTGAATCGTACCCGGTCGCGTCTCCGACCCTCGGATGCACGAGGCCACGCCAGGATCCTTGCAACCGTCGATGAAGATCTGCACCGCTTGAGTACGTCGCAACTCGAGATCTTGGGCGGCATCGTTGATACGCCACGCGTATTCCCGGACGGTTTCTTTCGCCTTGCGGATACTGTTCTGCGTGATTTCGGCCATCTTCGCGCTCATGCTCTTCTGTACAAACTCCTTTTAAAATGCGCTTCTTGTGCTGCGCCAAGTCCGGTTCGAGCCTTCGCGGTGACGACGGGCCCACCAATCCTGGACAGTGCGGATCTTCGACTCGGCCACGCGGTATTCAAAGATGCGTATGAGCTCGATATCCGTCAGCTCGAACTCAATCTGAAGGTCGTCGAGATGTCCCAAGAAATGGTCCAATTGCAACTTGTCCACACTTTCGAGCTTCAGCGATTGCTTGCGGGCGTTGCCCACCAACGAATGTCGATCCGCCGGCCGACGGGAGTATGGGTCCGCACCAAAACGTGGATACGGAGCCGGATCTCCACCGCCATCACCACCATTCCCTCCGGGTCCGCCGCCCCCACTGAGTCCACCCGAACCATATGCGCCTTCTCCAAATCGGCGCGGATCGTTCCCGTCACCGCCGTCGCCACGGCCACTCGTAGGGGCAGGTGCGGACCGGTACGGCACCGGACGAAGCGGGGCGTGCGTTCCCATCGTCGAAACCAGAGCCGGCTCCATAACTGAAGTGCTCGTTCCCACCATGTACACCGGTATACTATGACTCGTCGGAAGGAACGGAGTCTGCATCGTCTTCAAGGTGTCAAAGATGGCATCCAATTTGTCAGTCACTGAACCTTTCGAGGGGTGCATACCAAGGACCGGAGTCCGGTCGATCGTGAAGTCAGAGCCCATGACCGTAGAGAAACCAAAGAACCACCAGACGGGGCTCGCCGTACTTGTACCGTCGAGTCATGCAAGTAGCCAGGTTGTTGAACGGGATGCGCTGTTTCATACCCCACGGCTATGGGTTGGTCCGGGGTTGCTGGCGCACGCGAAGCAGTTCCAGCCGTTCTGACAGAAGTCGCGATCGTTCCGCCTGCATCGCGATGTTTATCTCACGACGCTCCAAATCCGCTTGTGAACGGTCGTTTGACAACTGCGTCAACCACGATAGGCGCTCCTCGTCAAACAGGGCACGCTCGTCGGCCACCTTGGCTGCAAAACCCCGTTTGGTCTCGTCAAGCCGAAACCGTTCTTGAGCTAACGCGGCCTGAGCACTGACGAGTTCGGCGGCCGTCCCTTCGAGAACTTTTCGTTCCGACCGTAGTTCCTCCCGATACAGAAGGTCCAACTGCAACTCGCCGTTCATGTCCGTCAACATGTTCAAGTTGACGTTACTTTCATGGGCCTCACCTTCCAAAATCCGGATCTGAAGGTCGCGCGCGTCGACAACGGCATGCAGACGTCGTTCTTCTTCGATCTGGAAGACGACTCGCGTTGTAAGCTTCAACACTTCTAGCTTCAATCCCTCGCATCTGGGCAGGCCTCAAGAGCCGCCGTTTGTTTCTCGGCGTCGGCCCTTTCGAGTATAGTGATGGCCCTGTCTTTCTGTGCCAGGCTGGCCCTCAACTCATCACCATCCAAACGGTCTTCCTCTCGTATCGCCAGCGACGCATCAAGGACTTCGTTCTTGAAACACAGGAATTCCGTTCGCCATTTCTCATCGTTCCTTTCCGACTCGAACAGCATTTCTCGCTTCTCGGCCTGAAATGCGGCTCGAGTCTGAACCAACTCGCTGTCGTCGAGGGCCTTGTCGTCTTCCGCACGGGCACGACTCAACCCAAGTTCGGCTCGCAACGCAGACACCATCGCCGCATCCACTTGACGCTGGCGCTCCATACAGGATAGGGCGGCCGACACCGCCACTTCCTCAGAGCTCCGGATGCGACTAATCTCATCGCCCAACGCTTTAGTTTGATCCAGCAGATCCGTCCTTTCTACCCGTAGTTTTTCCACCATGCCCGACCGTTCTAGCACGAGCGCCTCCAATTCCTTGTGAACCACGCGTGTCACAGCCAGTTGACCGTCGAGGTCCGTCGTTCGACCCTGGACAGTGTCCTCCACGAGACCCGAGTTGAGCACCTCTTGACGGGCCTCCTTCCCGATGCGTTCCCGCTCCGCCTCGAGTCGTTTCGTGCATCCACGCTGGACCAAAGCCGCCTGCTGTTGGAACGACGACTCCATGTTGATGAGTGCCAGTTGGAACGCCTCTTGTCGAGCTTGTTCTTGTTGCCTCGTGATCTCTTCGAACCGTGACGCCCACTCCGCCAAATGCGATTCCTTGTGCTCCAGCAAGCTCATCCGTTCTGTACACGCCTGAAGCAGAAAATCGTTGAACGCCTTCACTTGAGCCTCCCGCATTGCATTCACAAATCCATGTCGCCCTTCCGCCTTCATGCGAACGCCAACCACGCCAGGAGTCGTGGGGTTCGCTTCGCCCGGTCCCTCCACACGGGGTGCAACTGCCACCGACACCACCGGTCCAATAATCCCTCCAAGGCGTCCAGTGCCCTCCTCGTCGTCGACAGCACCTTTCTCCGGTAGCAGTTCGTCACGGTTGTTTGACTTCGGGGATAGCGGTCGCGGAGTCAGCTTGCCCCGTATCCGGATATCCTGTTCACTACCCGACTGATAAACGTCGTCAACATGCACCTTTTCGTCACACTACTGCTAGTATTACGAATATACTTGACAAAAAGGTTGTTATTTCTGGGACTCGAACCCGGCACACCAGTCTCGCAAGCGGGTGCTTTATCCACTGCACCGCAGAAGGTATACATTACATATCCAAGTAAAATAATTTAAGTACATATTTGTTCATCTAGTACTATAGTACCAACCAATGTACTAGTACTAGTATCAGCCAATGCAGCAACTACTGTACATGTAGGGTCCTACCTATTACTCATACAGTACATGTACAGTACCACAGTCCTCGTGTTGCATTGAAACAACATGTACTCTAGATAACGCACGATGTGCCGACTCTAACACCAGTACCAGAGCAGGTCTTCAACGGCCACACGATTGTAAACCCTGCGACAAGTAGTTATAGGAGTATAGTATTAGTACGTTTAGTTGTCGTCGTAAGTGGGGGAGGACCTACTACACATGCGAGTCCTTGAGACAAGTGTACTGTACGCGATCACATATGTGCTAATGTACTGTAGTGCCAACCAATATTTCAGCCAATGCAGCAATTACTGCACATGTAGTAGTGTCCTGGCTATGACTCGTACAGTACATGTACTGTCGTCAAAGTCCTGTTGCAGTCAGTTTACAACAGTGAATGGGTCCATGGTGATGTTGGGGCAGAATGAAATGTGATTAAATCTTATGAGTGTAATGCAGAATCGTGTCAAGGCACGCAGTTACCGGTATGTAGTAGTGTGGCATTTAGAACGCAACTTCCAATTCACACAGCCATACTGTATTTGTAAACGTTTATTCTTCCGTGACACACTCACAGAAGTTTTGTCCAATCTCTACCTTATTTTCTCGATAAATACCAATTTATTTACACCTTGGTCACATACAATTGTTTAATCATATTTATGTAGTCTGATACAAGCTAACAGTTAAACACCTTTACTGAAAAGCGCTAAGGTAAATTAACTCATGAAATGGTTTATTTCATATATTCGTTGCCTTTTGCCATGGCACAGTTAGCTCATAGGTAGAAGCTATGCTTGGCGTGGCAAAGGTCGTGGTTCGAACCCCTTCGTAGAATTTCTTTTCTCTTGAAATCAAACTCCTTTTGCTACCCGCACCAGACATCAAGCAGCAATCATAACTTCGCCAACGTGGCAGCCCTCTACAATAACTAGTACTGTAGCAGCAAAAAACTGTTCTTACTTGAACCCATTGATGTCTGTGACTGTATACAGCAGTAATATGTAGTTAAAAAGTACCGTAGTTGCAGATTAAGTAGACCTTGGGTCACCAAGTCGCTTCACACACCGAGGGGGTTGAGATGTATGAGGTGGAGTCGTTCACTTGCTGGTAACTGAGATCGTCCAGGGTATTACGTATAATCACTAGTCACACCCTCAGCTACGATGCTTCCCCTCAGCTACTCAGAAGTTATATAGCTATGCAAGTTATATAGCTTGCATAGCTATATAACTTCTGAGGGGGGCATTGAAGCTGAGAGGGATCATAGTACAGTAGTTGAGGGGGCAGCAGGGGGGATAGGGGATTCACTATTACTTTCACTAATCAAAGCCAGAGAGTTCGTCCAGGGTATTACGTACATAGTATAATCACTATTCACACCCTCAGCTACTACGCTTCCCCTCAGCTACTGTGCTCCCCCTCACTACTGTACTAGCTTCAATGCCCCCCTCAGAAGTTATATAGCTTGCATGATTAGCACGGAGTAAACTGTCTGTTTGACCACAGCTAGCAGCAAGGGGGGTGGGGGATTCACTATTACTACCAATAATCAAAGCCAGCAGCAAGTTATACGGTGCATGCACACCATACTATTCTATTGGCTTCAGACGAGTATCGGTGTCAGAATGATGGACCATCATGTAGTTGCCTTATCACCACATTCGTGAGTTTGCTACATACGGTACCAGTAGAACATCTCAGCAACACGAATATCATTGTAGTGTACTAGTATTTCACATATATACTAGTATGTACCCAGCCATGCCTACAATGCATGTAAACTCTAGCTAGCACACGTTGTGCCGACTCTAGTACCAGTGCCACAGCATGCCTTCAACGGCAACAAAAGTGCATACCCTACGACGAGTAGTTCTAGGAGTGCACTAGCTTCGAGGCTATCCATAATGCCCTACATCTAACCACCGTACTTTAGCATTCGGTTCGGTATGCACCCAAACCCCAATGCACGCACATCCTTGAGAATACAGTGTACTGTACCAGCACGTAAACCCACATTGCACTAAGCAACCTGTATCACTACACGTGAGGCACATCTATCTACAACCGAACTGTCATAGTAGTACAATACTATCATTATCATTACCGGTAGTGTAATCCATGGCTTAAGTTGCTTTGCGAGTCGACACCAAAGACACAAACAACGGTGTCATGTTCACAGTGTTATAATTCGCAGTAATATACTGTAATGTTCAAACTGATATATCAGCTCCAATAGTGTCGTGGTTGAGAAATGTGGCGGCGTTGCTAATGCCCCGGGTTCAAATCCCGAAATCAATCGTACTTTTTTGTACTTGAACTTGCAGTAATGTAGAATCTGGCCAGTCCATGTGTGTGTTTTTTTGTCCAATCAGAGTGTATGTGGAAAGCCCGCCAGTCCTTACATCTCATTTCATTATTTCCTCAAGTTCGATGGGGCGGCTGCGTCTGAGGGGGCCGGAGGCAAGAAGCTACACAGTGGCGGCGTGACGACGTGAGCTCGACGGCGCCGACAAAAGGTTACTTGGCGATAGCGCCACAAGACGATCTTTGTGCTGTATGTACTGTATTCAAAGTCGATCGCTGTGGTCGTAAGGATCCAACCTTGAGTTGGTGCATACTGTACACTATAGGTAATTTCGTTATTGAGGTGTTTGCTATACACACATGAGTTAAACAATGTAAGAGTAATACGAAGACTCGTTCATTTCACGGTGACTACATGTAATCTTGTCATCACTGTCGTTGTAAAACTACCTTGCATGTGATTCTCCACTGTTGCCTTATAAGTGCGGGATTATTCGTATAATTCTGAAGTGGTTGGGCATGCATGGCACATGCGTATTGGTATTGGTATTACGCTGTAAAGTTACAATCACTCAGCGGGCACTTAATGGCCTCGGCCGCGTACTAGGTGGTTTTCACCCGGCGGACGTAACGGGGGGAGGGGAGGGTGGTGGGTCGTCCACTGCGGAGTCGTTGTTGGCGGTTGTGACGAGTGGTTCCAATAATTGGCTTCCGCGGGGGGCGTCGAGGGTGGACGCATCGACCACCGGAGGATGGGCAGTGGAATGAAGGGAAACCCAAATCCTGGGCATGACCACAAAGGCCAAAAATGTTGCTCGTTGATACCCAATTGCGGAAGAGAAAGCCGTGCTTCAGCTCTCGAATGCCCACTGATGGCAGTTGTGTGTGGGCCGTATACCGGTGGTGAGAGTGGTGGGCTTGGAGTGACGATGGTTCAGGGGCGCATGACGCAGTGGTGTATTCCCGTGGAGGGACCCAATGCCAGATTGTAAACCGGATTCTCTTGACTTTAGTGCGGGTGAAGGCTTGTTGTGGCGGGACAGTTGTGGCTACTGTATTGGACGTGTGGGGTACGGCTGGTTTGTTGGCCCAGTGCTGAATAGGAAACAACGTGGTTGCAGCAGACGAACGGATCGTTGTAAAGACGGGGCGGACTGGCTCTGATGGAATTGGTTGTGCTGTTGTGGCGGTCCGGGGTGCCGGAGATTTCCGTGGTGGTGGAGCGGCGACTTGAGGCAGGCTGCATCGAACGTCCAAAGGATGGAGACCGGAAGGAGCGAGGATGATGGGACTGTCGCTGCTGTAGAGAGGACCCCAGTGAAGCAGGGAAAGGAGGGGGAAAGCGGCTAAGGCTTTTTCGGACGTGAGTGGGAGCTGAAGTGCAATGACACTGTCCCATGTGGACATTTCGTCGCGCAGCTCATCGGTGTGCTCTGGGTGGGATTGGAGGTGGACCAGGACGCGGAGGTATCCGGGGGAGTGAGGAGACATACCCAGCTTGGTTGGTTCCGGCGGCGGCATAAGGAGGATTGCCGATTATTTCGGCTCGGTGCGCCGCGAACCACTTGTGGGGTACGAAGAAAATTTGGGGATGCATGGCACATGCGTAGTGGTATGGTAGGTGCTGGCGTCGATCTCCTTGCGTGGTTCGTTCGTGTGCGGGGCTGCATGGTGGTTGGTGCTGACATGGCGGTGGCGTCTGCCGTCGTTGAGGAAGGAATACTCAATGACGGCAGACGCCACCGCCATGT